ATCACATTACCTTGATCTATTTTCGTCTTATCTTATAGAAAACCTTAAATTTTAAAACTTAAATCCTAATTTTTACCAACTTCTCCTAAACCTTAACATTCTTACCTAATTCTTTAGACATTTTTATAAGAGCCAAATAGTTTCATTTCAACATTTTCCTAGCATTCATCATTTTTATAAGACAGTCCTAATGATAAAAATAAAAGAAAAAAGCAATCCAGTCTTCATCCAACGTCCCTTCCTCCTGGTCCCGGATTTTGTCAGTCCTTTTTATCCTATTAATCTAGCACATTAACCTGGCAATCTTATATCCGAGGCCGTCAAGTCACTTCCATGGCCCTTCCGTAACTCTTCTTTATATTTCCCTTTTATTCGTGGGAACTCCAGCTTGGTAGTGTTTTTGACCCTTTTCAGCAAAACAATCCCTTTTCCATAGTCCAAGCTAGGCTCAATGTAATATTTACAAACATGTTCCAGATTCCCTTCAAAGTTGAGAGCCCCCACAGCTCCAGACATCTGACGGCCCCTTTCCAGACTTGAAAAGTCCAAATCTCCCTGTAAAGGGGGGTCTATCCAACCCCCCATTTCCAAACCAAACCAGATTTTATCTTTCCAAGTCTGATTTTTTCCAAGTTCATTTATCAAATCCAAAAGTTTATATTCCTGCTGGGCCGCAGCTCCCTCCATCTCTGGCGCCCAAGATTCAGCAAGGTCCTCTTCTCTCAGTTGTTCTGTCATGGCACGCTCCTGTTTTGATTCCTGGGTGGGCTCCATATAGTTTCCCACTGCCTGTTCAAAGGTTCTGGCCGCATTAGTCATGAAATCCGTCTTCTGGCTTAACTGATCCAATAGGGCATTTATTTTACAGAAAGCACCCAACAGTGCTTCTGAAGACATTGTTCTACAAGGTCACAAATCCTTTCCCACAGTTGTAATCAGTGACAGCTGCAAGTTCCCAGGAATTAGTTACAATTTCATAGTTCCCCTCTAGGGGGAAAACTTCTGGTTGTTCTTTCTCTTGAAAACAATAGCAACAAAGTTTCTTTTTTAAGATATTTTGTCCATATTTATTCTTTTAAAAGACGAAAGGAAGCAATGGAGTCACTATGTTTCTCTTCTTTTAACTATCTGTCAAAGACATTTGTTTCTGGTCAATGAGCTTCAAACGTCAATTCTGACACCCCGCTCCAGGGTCAGGACGGTGGAAAATTACTTTGCTTTAGATTCACTTCTGCAGGTTTAAACAGCTCAGAAAAGATCCCCCTTCTTCTCCTGCTACCCAAGGGGGGTTCAGCGATTTTAAATGATAAAAGTCGATCCTTTAAAAGTGATTTTTAAGGCTCTAGTTTGCGTTGTCTTTGCTTTGTTCTAACTACAAGGAAACGGAAGGGTGACTTCCTGTTTAAACCTTCCCGTTTCAGTACCAAATTAGGGTAAATTTTTAAGTCCAAATTCCTTTTTATTTCGCCAGTTCTTATTTGAAGTCCAAATATTCAATGTTCCAGTACTCACGGTTGGTTGTTTTAAATGCCAAATTGTCCCAGGAAAAAGGCAGCTGGTCCACTGGTCCTGTTAGCTAAGGATGATAGGAATTGTAGTCCCAAACATCTGGAGGGCCGGAGTTGGCCTATGCCTGCTCTAAGCGCTGGCATTTCCTATTGAGAAAGGAAGGGGCCCCATCCATTTGCTGTCTCAGACCAAGTCCCTTGATCTTTTATTCAAAATGGCTCTCCTCAGGCTATCACCTCAACACAGAAGCTTAGCCTTGCTTAATGAGTTTTCAACACCTAGCTTATTTAAAGGATTACAAGTGTCTAGCATACAGTCTAATATGCACAGGTCTGACACCCAGAGCTTTAACACCTGGAGCCTTGATTAAATTCTAACACTTACTGGTTCCAACAATTTAGAAGTGTCCAGCACTCACAAACTCATCACAATATGCTTGCGGTGAACAAGCCAAACCCAAACTGCTCAATCTACACGTTCTTTTGAAAAGGTCCCTCCACATTCAATGCCACATAAGTCTGCATAAGTGTTTAGTCCAAGGTAAGAAACAAATAACTTAGCAGAGGGTTAACCTTGCATAAGGTTAAGCTGTTGCCCATAGGTCAGGCTCTTAGAGCATGCAGGAGATCCAGAACTGTGTCACACACTTACATATCAGTGCAGATTTGGCCTATGCAGCTTGTGAGTTCCCAAGACATGCACCACATATGGAGGCCGGATAAATAGCTTGGTTTTGAAGCCTACCTGGGCCTCGAAATGTGGGAGTCAAGCAGATGGTTGATCTCCATATATGACTGGAGGTATTTCTGGTTTGGGTTTAAAGGTTTGCAGGCCTGGACTTCATCTTTGTAGTCTTGTGGGCTCCGAGCAGAATTCTCTACCCCAGAGCCTTTAACCGAACAATATACATAGTTAATTTAGAATTATCTCTCTGTTGTCCAGAACAGATCAGCCCCTTCTCAATGAGATGGTGTTATTCTTCATTGCTATTTCTCAGGCTTGAAGGAGGCACAAGTTGACATTGAGGCAGCCAAACACGAAAGCCACAACACAGACAAAGGCACAATCGCTATGGTGGAAATGTGAACAGGAGAGGGCAGGCCATCACCAGAGAAAGAGCTATGCAACACAGCTGCTTGCTTCAGTCTGCTTAGAGGAGACACATAATGGACTAGACTAGTCTTGTCGTTCTCCCACCTTTTATTTGCAAGCTAAGTTCTCGTCTCATCCAGTTTCACAACCCATCCTGCCTCCTCTCCCATCCCTTGGGAATGGAGTGGGGCTGTCATCACTGAGGATTTCTGAGTTCATAATGCACCTTGGAGGGATGGGCTGTGAACCTGATTAAGGGCTGTGTTTAGAAGTGTCACATTCACTAGTTAAGAGGTCTCGGGTGTCAGATTTCACAGGCAACACCTGAAGCTCCCAACAATTAGATGTCCACCCACATTTTTTTTAAAAAATGTCGGGCATTGATTGCATGGGTCCACAGATGGAAAGAGGGCAATTTGATTTGTTTTTGCAGGGGAGGGGTTAAAGCAAATACTGAGAACCACCGAGGCAAAAAAAAATATTTTATTTTTTTTTAAATCCACTGGGGTGAATAAAGAAAAGGGATTTTTCCTGCAACAGAATGAGGCATAAGCTGTTATGGGTGAAGAGGGTGTGGAAAATCCATTATCTTCTCTCTGTATGCATTCTTGGTTGCCCCTTTTTAGTGGGCTTGACCAGCCATGTTTTATTGGAAGCAGCATCCATATTATTCCCCCCCCCATTATTATTATTATTATTATTATTATTATTATTGTTGTCATTATTTATTATTTCATTTTTATTGCTTATTAATACAGCCCTTTGCCTTCTTTCAAATTGCTAAAAAGAGACAGAAATCCAGTTGTGGACAAATGGTTAAACCTCTCTGAGTCTTTACACAAAAGCACTGCCACTTACCACCCAGGAAGTCCCTGCAATTCAATATAAAGGTAAAGGTAAAGGTAAAGGTACCCCTGCCCGTACGGGCCAGTCTTGACAGACTCTAGGGTTGTGCGCTCATCTCACTCTAGAGGCCGGGAGCCAGCGCTGTCCGCAGACATTTCCGGGTCACGTGGCCAGCGTGACAAGCTGCATCTGGCGAGCCAGCGCAGCACACGGAACGCCGTTTACCTTCCCGCTGGTAAGCGGTCCCTGTTTATCTACTTGCAGCCGGGGGTGCTTTCGAACTGCTAGGTTGGCAGGCGCTGGGACCGAACGACAGGAGCGCACCCCGCCGCGGGGATTCGAACCGCCGACCATGCGATCGGCAAGTCCTAGGCGCTGAGGTTTTACCCACAGCGCCACCTGCGTCCCTGATTCAATATAGTGCATTGCATATATCATTCACGATAATGACAATGATGCCATGAGATAGATGCAAATGAAAAAAAAGACAAACTAGCATTAATTTCCATATTTCTTCCCATTACAGAACTCAGTAGATGCAATGCTTTGAGAATCAGGGTAGAACAGACAGAACTTCCAACTAAGTCTTGTAGGGTGAATTGCTCCTGTTCAAATGGTTTAACTAGTTTTATATGATCGCAGAGCTGGATTACAAGACATTTTCGCTATTGGTGCTCCAGAAGTTGCTGAATTGCAACTCACATCATCCTAGGCTATTGGCCATATGCTTGTTGGAGCTGATGAAAGTTGTAAGTTCAGCAACTTCTGGAGAACCAAAGATATCCCCACACTTGTTGTGAATGTCTATATGGTAGTGAAATCCTATAGTAGGAGCTCTACACTCTTAGAAAGCCCTTTTGCCTTGAAAGGGAGCCTAGAAAATTTAAATAATCAGTAACAGAGTTAAGCTCCAAATTGGATCCTGGCAATCACGGACCCACCAAGCTGGATTTGATGTTTACAGGCCTATTTCTATACACATTCCCACCATTTGGTGGACTCTGTGGCAAAGTAATAATTATTTATATAGTGCTTTAAAAGAACAACTCCTAACTAAAACATTTAACATATGAGAAAATGAAGTACAGGTTCTTCTTGTAGGTTCATAATATGAAAACAGACACACCCACCCCCCAAGAATTGCGCAAACAAGGATAATCTCCAGAGAAAGAAGTATTGCTGAAATTAAAAGCAAGCCACAGTATTTAAAATCCAATGTTGCTATTCCTGAAACTGCATTGGAGCAGGTGTTAATCCCTGGACTAAATTATTCAGCTATAATGAAGATTTAATATGCTTTCTCTTTGCCTGAATGTCGTAATTGTGCCTATAGTTAGAGGAAATGTCTACCATCTTGACATTAATGAAGAACTAATTCACAGAACTTAAAAAAGTTAAAGGAGCTATCATTGCTGAGAACCTAAGATTTCACATACAGGATTATTTTGGTCACCTTTCCAAATTTGTAAAGGTACTCAGTATTTCCATACTTACAGCTATTTAATTTTGGAAGAATTCTTCCTTTCTTTTTTTTTAAATCACATTCTAGGAATAACAGTATAAATCTTTTTATTATTATTATTTACAGAGTTCATTTTTTATTTATTACAATGTCTGGTGTCGTTTATAAATCAAAACATGTCCATGTCAGTATGTAACAGCATAAAACAAGAAGCAGAGCATAAGAGTAGCTAAATTACATAGTGTCCCACATCACCAGTAAACAAAATGAAAGAAGTCAATATTTCAAGAAAAATACTGGCAAATACTAGAGGCTTGCAAATAAAGTTTGTTCTAACCCAGTCGTCGTCTTTTTTTGCATGATTTAAAGAAATGCAACAAAATATCTTCCACATTTTCAACTTTTAAGGCCTCAGCTGTGTTTTGTGCTCAAATATCCACACGCTGAACCAATCAGTCAAAGTTATATAGCAAGGCCGACTGTCCCATAAGACCAACATACAAATACTGGATAAACAAATGACAAAGAACATTTAGACCATAAAACAATTATCAGAGGCAAGGCAGTTCGGTTTAAACAGACCAACTATTGCCTAGAATAGTCTTATCATGTCTTCATTAACACTTTTTAAAGCTAAACTTTATGTATCACTTTGTGCTCCGTGTTTTCTTGTCACAGTTTGCAAAAGCAGACACATCTAAACCTTCACCGTTGCTGCACTGCTCGTATAAAGCCTGAAACATTTAAAAAGAAGAAGCAAATCAGATCATCAGATGCTATGATGTTTTCTTTCAAACCCCCTTTTACAGCTCATATTTTGCATGGAGCATTTGACTTAACCCTTTTCCCCACACCCCCAGTTGAAAGCATAGTTATCTGAATTCTCACATAACGCACCCCCCCATCTCACTGTTAGTTTCTGTTCTTATCACTGCGCAGCTGCTTGGAGTCACAGGACTCTGTTTACATTCCAGAGACCTTCCAGGCTGTTGGAAGTCTCACAGGAAAGGAGACGAGATGTGACGTTAGTGGTTTCCTGTTTCCTTTGTTCCTTTGTTCGGTTGCTCTCTGCTTTCGTAGAGAGAGGATGTATTTTCTGTCTGCGTAGCTTAGAAATAAAGCATAGCATGTAGCCATAAATCTCAACACTTCTGCTGCTTTGGAAACTCTGCTGAAGGATATGCCTGAGGCCTCATCAAAGGCTCAGGTCGTTAAACACGTCGGGAGGCAATTCCAAAGGACTCGGGGGAAGAAGATGAGGCTTTATCAGCTTGGCCGAGCGGAGATCCCGACACTCACTCTGTCTCCCCCTGCCCACAAAAAATCTAGCCCCAATTCCTTCCACTCTCTCCCAGTCACTGATGAAATTTAGACTGCAAGCTCCCTGGGAAAGGGATCCTTTTGTGATAAACAACCTCTTGTCAATATGCCATTTCCATGTAGAATCCAGTGAAAAATCCTCTCCATAAGCAGGGGTTCAATGCTCACACTAGCCAGTGTCATACTGATTCTGGGAAGTGAGCCAGCAACGGAGTTCTGTGCACAGAATCTAACCCTTCCTTCCCCCAGTGCTCCACATGTTTGCCTACTCCGGGCACCCTTTGACTCGTCTACATCTGAATGAAAAATTATAAAACTGTAGATTATTCACTTGCACACTTTTGTCAAAACCTAATCTTGGAATTCAAGTCTATTTGGCTTAAAAAGAATGCTCATGCCAGCTTTTATTGCACCTAAAAAAGTATTGCTAGAATATGCAAATGTTGTCAAGAAGCACTGCAAAGCATGGTCAGAAGCAAAAAAAAAAAAAAAAAAAGTACCACTGATTTTTCACTGTGATAGAAGAGTGCAGAGTACAGTCGTTTTGCCCAATACACATTTTTGCCTCATTTAACAGTTAAAGTTAACCTCAACGTGACTGAATGAGATTTTTTTTATTTTTTATTTTTTTATTATTATTAAAATGCAGACATGCCTAGAGAATTCCAACTACAGTGGTACCTCTGGTTACATACTTAATTCGTTCCGGAGGTCCATTCTTAACCTGAAACTGCTCTTAACCTGAAGCACCACTTTAGCTAATGGGGCCTCCTGCTGCTGTTCTCATCCTAAAGCAAAGTTCTTAACCCAAGGAACTATTTCTGGGTTAGCGGAGTCTGTAACCTGAAGCATATGTAACCCAAGGTACCACTATAGATCATTTCCAAGTTTCAGGGTTTGTAAATTTAAGAAGGTTTTACTCAAGCCATCACAATGTAGCCTTGTTTATAGAGACAAGTAGGATACCTATCTATAGTCATAATCCTGATTTGCTGCAAGTAGTGCCCACCCCCAAAATGGGATAAAATGAAGGATAAAATGAAGAAAAGCTGATTCCACAGTTATCCCACAGGGATTTTTCCTTGACTGTGGTTAACTTAATCCCTTAATTCACTGTGTCCCTCAGTTTTCATCACAAGATGAGTAATCATTTAAATAAAATGCCTTGAGGGAAGCTTCTGCTGGAAACGTCATGTAGTTTAAATACAATAGGTTATACTCAACTAGCTTCTTTTTAGACTAGACCCAATGAAATTAATGGACCTACGATAGTCAAATAATTAATTTTAATGGGTCTACTCTGAGTAGGCCTAGCACTAGAAACCACCCAATAATTCCTATGAATGAGTGACAGATTGAGCTTCAGCAGGTGGGTAGGAGGAGCTACCGCTCTCGTTTATGAATGCCTCCTGCATGCCAGCCAAATCTTTCTTTTAAGTGAGAGCATTTCCCTTATATTACTATTATGAAGTGCGGCTGGTAGGATTTGTTTACTTGCCATAACACATTGCTTTGAAGATTACGAGCTTATATTCTTTGCCGTTTTATACCATGTCACTCCCTGTTAGGGTGAAAGCCTTTCCCATCTTTATACACCAAACCATTTACCACTGCCTATTAAGATCCGCTGCTTCTCAAATCCACTATTTTTGCACCCTCTCCTGTCCATCTCACACGACATTCCTCACTACACTTTTGTCACACACGCCTTCCTGTCCCAAGTGGACATTTTATGTGTCTTGTTTTGTATCTTTGTATCTTCTTTATTTGGTATAAATAAATAAAAATAGGAACTGTATCAGTTCTACATTCTCTTTCTGCTTTAAGTATTATAAATATCACGTTCTTAGTAACAATACCACTGCCAGAAATTCATTTACTTACTCTAGTAGCTCTAGAAATGGAGTTAGGAGAGTTCAGGCCAACAAGATGACCAAGGATGCGCTTTATTTCCTCTGTTGTCCCTTTTGTGATTGAATCCCCTAGAAAAATGTTAAAATCTGGTTATGCTTAAAATGTCCAGCTAAGCTGTATGAAAATTCAGATACCAGAGCACTTGGTGATATACTTAGGTTAGCAGGTATATTGTTTACTCTGTCAGAGTATTAGACAAGAGAATGAACACCTTTATATAAAACTCTGGTGAAATAAAGTGAAATTCAGTAACAGATAAAGTTACCTGTTTGTGAATTGGTTTGAATATGTACATAAGGATGAACCAGCAATTCAGAGACAGATATTCTTTGCTTGGGATTCCTTACCAAACAGCGCTGAGGGGAGAAGTTACAAGACGGAATCAATAAAACTCAGTTTTCTAAAGAATATTATAGCTCAACACTGTTTTCCACATTTTATATAGGAAAGGTATCCCTAGGGAACTGAAAGTGCACTCCATTAATCTAGTTTGTGCCTTGTAGCATCAGATTCAGCCTGCTGTTTCACAATGGAATGGATTCTGTAAATATTCTATGTCAATGTTTCCCCAAAAGTGACCCATGGCCCGCCAGCTTATTCAGGCGGTCCCAGCAGTTTCTGTAAAGAACACTTACAATTTAAATTTTACTGCTTCTCTAATATGCTTATTGTATTACAATTTACATAATTTAAAAATTGTAATACAATAAACATATTAAGAGAAGCAACAAAATTAAGAATCATACCGCATCTAGCACAAAGCATTACGATCGCTACAACAGGCAGATAAAAAACAAACAAACCCATTAAGTGGTCTGCCAAGACCCTTATAAATTTCCAAGTGGTCCATGGGAGGGAAAGTTGGGGGAACTACTGTTCTACATCACAGGAATAAATAAACAGTAGGTCCAAATGATGCACTAAATGAATGAAACTTATCTCAACTCCGTAAACAAACTGGCCATGTTAGAACAATCATAATGATAATGGATGATAACAAACTAAGATTAAGCAGAATGCTACCTTCTTTCCAATAGGCTAGTTCTCTAAAAGGAGCCAAGAGAAATAACTTTTCACATAAACACTTGTATGCTGTATGTTCTTCAGGTATAATCAAACACATAACATATAGTACATGGTAATTTTTTAAAAAAATACACGGTGCCCTTAAACTTGCCTAGGCATTGGAGAGAAACAGAATCACATACAAAAGTGCACAGAGCTTGACTCCCAAGAATAATATGCCAAAAGACACTTGAGGAATGTAGACTCTTTCCTGTCTCTGTCCTCTGCACTACAGCTCCACCCCACCCCCAAAAAACCCTCTCCTCAAGGAGGAGGTCCTTCTACCAGATTTTGAGCAATTTCTTCCTTCCCTCAGCAGCCTGCCTGTGCCCCACTGCAAGCTGTTCAGAGGGACCTTTCAACTTTCCCTGGGGCCCGGGGAGAAAACGTTAGGGAGGAGAACGAAGAAAGTCCCCCTTTGTGAGCTTCCTTTCATGGTTCTCAGGATCCAAGCCCAGATGTAGTTCCCTGCCCCCCCCCGCCCCAACCACAAATGATAAAGTCAGGAACTGTTTGATATATACATTAAGAATGCTAAACAAAATTATATTGTACAAATTTACACAGGTGGGTACCTTTAAGACATCCTGGAGGTCTTTTTCTGCAATATCAGGGAATGCTATTTCATGACTAGGATCAATTATGGCATGAAGTTTTGCAATCTGATTTGTTATGTGCTGAAATGGAGTTCTTCCATAGGTCATACAGTATAAAATGCAGCCCAATGACCAAACATCATTTTTTGGACTGATCTAAAAACAAAGGCATGGATGATAGATAGATAGGTAGATAGATAGATGATAGATAGATGCTTCTCACACAATTAACACAATGACTTTGAAGCTATTGCTATTGCCATTACATTAACATACGTGGTGCAACTGAATAAGCAATCAATTATAAAACCTGGAGCAACAGCATAACAATTAAGCAATAAAGGAGAGCGTCTATATTTCAAAATCTGATCAATGACACACCTTTGCGTCGATGCATATTGCCGAAAGTAGGATGTTAATTGTCAGGAAAAGTAATTTGCACACAGTTAAAACAGACAGAAATCTACATTATCAGTTTTGTAACCTAAAAGAATGGAAACATTGCTTCAAAGGCAGACCATTTAAAACGATGAATAATATTGCTCATGAAAATTGTTTAAGAAACTGATGCCCTGGTAAGGGATCAACAGAAAGTGGAATACAATGATAAAGATTCTCTCATACTACCTCGCACTGACTGAAACATAAACCTGTTACACTGGAATGTCTGCTTTTTAACTCAACATGAGTAGGTGAGTTTCAGAAGAAGAGGAGGAATATAGACAAAGGGAGCCTCAGTTTTGTGTATATTTAACATGCTGGCACAGGAGTCAGCTTATAGAAGAAAATGAACATAGGCAACTTAATGTAGGGCAATTTTACTCTGTTCACTTAAGCCCACAAGTCTTTGGCTGAAACAATTTTGCAAAAGAGTAAAATAAATTGCTCCCCACCTCATACCCCCATCTACGTGATGGGAATGATAATACTTTATGGGGCTGCTTAACAAATTACTTAGAAAATGCATGTAAAAACCTTGCAGTGTTTTTTGCTCTTCTGTTGGCTAACATCACCGTTACACAAGGTTTTTAAAAAATTAACTTCAAGACAGACCAGTGAGTTTAATCGTTTTAAAAGTAGTGTAAACATTTGTGGCATTCGTATGGAGCCCCCGGTCGTCTCACCGACTATTCTCAAGTTAACAATGAAGAGTGTAGTTTATTGCAGACACAAATAAACTTTAAATGCATTCAAAACACTGTTACCTTTTACCCTCTTAGTCTTATTTTATCCTGTCTCTAACTCTTCTACCTCCCCTCACACAAGAACTGTACAAACTGTCTATTTCCATCTGTCTGCCAACTGCTTTCCCAACTGCTTCTTCCCAACCAACCAACTAACAACTAACTAAACTTTGGGCTAAGCCCTTTTTATAAACAGGTAGGCTCCGCCTCTGGCTTTTCTATTGGTCTACCTATTAACTCTTTCTCTCCCCCGTACAGGTATTTCCAAAAGAACGGGCAAATGCCACAACATTAAAGGCCTAAGAAATAAGGTTTGGTTGTGCTTGAAGGAAGGCTGCTGAGGAGGCCATAGAGCAGGCATCCCCAAACTCGGCCCTCCAGATGTTACTGGACTACAATTCCCATTTGTTAGAGGGGGGCTTTCTTCTGGTGGCAGATGACAGAAACAACGACACCACGAGGCCGGTGTAAAACCAAATCAAATAAAGGTTTTATTACAAAACAACAAACATTGTGGGTGTTTTCTCACTGCAGGCAAAGTTCAAACTGCAACTTTTCCTCCTTTTGTAGTTATGACCAGCTGTACCCAATCTGCCCAAAGCTCACAGAAAAAATTCTTAAAGGTACAAACATCTTTACTGTTTCTTTGCAGAATGACTCCCAACACCATCATGACTAGCTAACAGGACCAGTGGTCAGGGATGATAGGAATTGTAGTCCAAAAATATCTGGAAGGCCGAGTTTGGGGATGCTTGCCACAGAGGATCTTGGCTGTGAGTCCTGGGAGAGCTGCTCCCTGCCTTGCAGGCCTTTTTTTTCACCTGGCCTGGGAGGCGGAGCCCTGACTCACTCCAGCTACATAAGCTGAACAGACTCAACTAAGTAAGTTAAAAACAAAGGTCTTAGAGAAAAATTTAACAGAGATTGAGAGAGAGAGGTTTCAGAATGAGACAGGTTTAACAGTGGTTAAGAAAGTGAAATACCTGGGGATTAACATGACAGCTAAAAATGGGAATTTATTTAAAGACAATTATGAAAAATGCTGGACTGAAGTGAAAAAAGATTTAGAAATCTGGTCAAATTTGAAACTTTCACTGCTAGGCTGTATTGCCGCGATAAAAATGAATGTATTGCCTAGAATGTTGTTTCTGTTTCAAACATTGCAAATTTTGGATAAAATGGATTGCTTCAAGAAGTGGCAGAGAGATATTTCTAGATTTGTCTGGCAGGGCAAGAAGCCTAGAATAAAATTTAAAATACTAACGGATGCAAAGGAAAGAGGTGGATTTGCCCTGCCAGACCTTAGACTTTACTATGAATCAGCAGCTTTTTGCTGGCTGAAAGAATGGCTGCTTCTTGAAAACAGACATTTTGGATTTAGAAGGCTTTAATAATGTATTTGGATGGCATGCATATTTATGGTATGATAAGGTCAAAGCACATAAAGCATTTAAAAATCATATTGTCAGGAAAGCATTGTTTAATGTCTGGATAAGATATAAGGACCTACTTGAAAATAAAACCCCAAGGTGGTTGTCACCGATGGAAGTGAAGGCTCAGAAAAAGCTCAATATGGAGGCCAAATGGCCGAAATATTGGGAAATTCTGGAACAAGAGGGAGATAGATTGAAATTGCAGAGTTTTGAAAAACTATAACATAAAGTGCGAGATTGGCTTCATTATTATCAGATAATGGAGGCATACAATTTGGACAAGAAAATTGGCTTCCAGGTGGAAAAATCAAAACTGGAAACAGAACTGTTAGAACCCAAAACCAAGATTTTGTCAAAGATGTATAACTTGCTGTTGAAATGGAATACTCAGGATGAAACGGTGAAATCTGCTATGATTAAATGGGCACAAGATGTTGGACATAACATAATGATGGCTGACTGGGAACAGTTATGGACCACAGGTATGAAGTTTACGGCATGTAATGCCTTAAGAGAGAATATTATGAAAATGATATACAGGTGGTACATGACACCAGTCAAGCTTGCAAAAATCTATCATTTGCCCGATAATAAATGTTGGAAATGTAAAGAAACTGAAGGTACATTCTTTCACCTTTGGTGGACATGCCCAAGGATTAAGGCTTTCTGGGAGATGATCTATAACGAAATGAAAAAGGTATTTAAATATACCTTTCTGAAGAAACCAGAGGCCTTTCTCCTGGGCATGGTCGGCCAATTGGTGCCAAAGAAGGACAGAACTTTCTTTATGTATGCCACAACAGCAGCAAGAATACTTATTGCAAAGTATTGGAAGACACAAGATCTACCCACTCTGGAAGAATGGCAGATGAAGGTGATGGACTACATGGAACTGGCGGAAATGACTGGCAGAATCCGAGACCAGGGAGAAGAGTCGGTGGAAGAAGATTGGAAGAAATTTAAAGACTATTTACAGAAATACTGCAAAATTAATGTTAGAATGATGTCAGAATGAAGTTAAGTGGTTTTAGCAGCAATGTTATAAAGGTGTATGTAAAAATGGATTGTTAACAGGTGAGAATCTAAAGCTATAATATATTAAGTTAAAGGATTAAGATAAAAACAAACAGGGAAAGGAATTGCTGAATTAACTAACTGAACTGGAATACAAAAAAGGGAGGCGTGAGGAGGTCAGGGAAACAAGTAAATGAAAGACAAGGCATGGAAAGATTGATTTGTTTTTAAGTGTTTTTTCTTTTTTCTGTATTTTTTCTTTTTTCTTTTTTTCTTTTTCTTATTTCTGTAACCTTTTTTGAAACTTTAATAAATATCATTTAAAAAAACAAAAAACAAAAGCTGAACAGACTCTTGGGCTGGCGTGTTGTTTGGGGGTTTTATTGGGGGGCATTGTTGCTGTTCCTGTTTGTACCTTTATTTTAGATCTTGTGATTTTTGCAAAAATTGTTATTTATTGTTTATTATTACTTCTGTTGTGCGGGAGTCATGTTTTTTTATGTTGTAAGCCACCTTGAGCATGGTTTAAACTGTGGAAAGGAAACACACACCAAAAATTATGTACATATATATAGATATGTAGGAATGTCTTCCTGACCTCTGCGGTATTTTTGCTGGCTGTATAGGGTCAAAATATGTATCTGCCTGTCCTTACTGCAATGTTGGACAGAAACCAAGCAGTTTTCTTTATGCTTTTAAAATCAGACAACCCTTCCCCAAAGTTCACTCTCCCATGTGGTTGCCTAAGGTGCTAGTTTCACATTTGAGCTCTTCCTCTCACAAATTTTCATTAGGAAGCATCCAGCGCCAGTATAAGGGTCCTTGCTTCTCCACGCAGTAAGCCGCCTCCATCTGATGCCCCTCCCCTCAATCCTACTGCAGCCTCTTGCCCCACATCTCAGTCATTCCCCAAGGATCCCCTGATTGCCAGCCACCCAAGAAGTACATAAAGCTGCAGTGTCTTTATGCTGGGACTGGATATAATCCATTATGAAGCTCTTATTAAACCCAGGATGAATTCTAATTTGATGCTATTTCAACTTCTGCTACCGTCCCACCACACTGCCCACACAAGCCTTTTTATAACTGCTTTATTCACATCACTGCATACAAAAAAACCCCCAATGATTTTGTCCTGGGTTTGTGGAAATTTAGAAAGTAAGATCCAAACCAAAGCATTTCCCTCCTTCAACCACAGGATATTTTTTACCTTTGACCTTGGTTTTCCATTTTCACCACAGGAAGACATGTCTTTAATTACCTCTGGTGGCATGTAGTTAACTGTGCCAACCTAGTAACAATTAAAAATATAATCATGTAATTAATTGATAGTTTAAAATTAGAATCTCATGTTTTGTTAGAAAGATTGCTCTAAAAAGGGCCCTGAAAAACAATGCTCACAAACCATTTTTTAAATTAATCCTCTTGAAATCCTGCTATAGTTCATTAGAAACTTTAGAACAGGAAAAACAAGCTTGTCTAGGAAACTTCAGAAAGCTCTTAACATAATGTTGAAGGCAACTGTATCTCAGAGAAATTAGTAATATAGGCAATTTTCAAAATTCCTCAGTAATTCTAATCCAACACTGAATGATTCAGACAATGTCTACATTAACTTTTAAAAAAAAAATTGTACTCAAAATGATGTTGTCACACTATATGCCCAATTCTCCACCCCAATAAAGCCACCAGCAACCTTTGTCAGGTTTGGTGAGTCAGTTTCAAGCAGCAGAGTTACAGTAATTAAGAGAGTGCTCTGTGGGATTGTGAACCTCCTCTCCACAGCTCTGCCCTTTCAGAGAAAATTCCTCCTGTTGCCTTAACTGAAGTGAAGAAATGTAGCCACACTGATGTTAACCATGGTTAAGGCAAATCAGATTCTGTGCGTAACCAGGATTTGAGGATGGTTAAGAACCTTGGTAAAATAGGAACCATAGCTAATGTCCGAACCAAAGTATCCATTGACTGTTGTTAAATTGGACAGGAGAGGAGGAAATCATAGGGCCCACTCCCTACCTCTTAAAATTTGTCAAGAGATTGGGTCTGCTGCGTACATATTGATACTAAGTGAACTGGATTAGGCTTAACTATTTCCTAACTCTAAAAAACCCACAAAACAGGATTTCTCTGTGAAATTTTATGCTGTTTCACCCTTTATGAATACTCTTCTCAGACCCATCTGAAGTGGGATACGCCCTGCATGTATGGATTGCTATACATCTCTGTTAGATGCCGGCGCCCAACATATAACCTACACCTTGCAACATTTCCGCAGCAACCGGGCATAATTCAGGCTGCAACTCCATGCCATAGCACACATGCTTTCCATGCAATAGACTCCAAGTTCAATCCCTGGCATCTCCAGGTAGGGCTGGAAAAGATGGTCTGAAACCCCAAAAGATGCTGTTGTCAGTGTAGACAATATTGAGCTAGGTGGACCAAAGAGCCGACTCTGTATAAGGCAGCTTCCAATGAACTTTTGTGCAATATCCCTTCTCTCTTTCATCTGGGGTAGTCGTGACTCCTGTAGTCCACACTCTGGGAAACCATGCGCCATGACTATGTCTAGACCCGCAACCTACCTAAAACAGGCAAACACAAATCAAGACCCACAAAACTCCTCACATTATTCCTGATGTCCCCTCATTGTGAAAACAGACATTCGTACTGTTTTATAATAGGGTAAAACAAGGATGCCCAACAGTCTCACCTGTGAATCTTTAAAAATGCTTGTCACATCTGGCTGCATTTGATTTGCAATGCCAAAATCTATTAGTTTTAGCATTCCATCCACTAGCAGAAAGTTTGCTGGTTTCAGATCACTATGAACAATACCTGCAAATAAAAATTTGTTCAGTTAGTACAAATTAAAAATATATGCATTTACTCTGTTCTCTCACACCCATTCTACAAACCTTCTTGGCCCAACACACAAGGATGGGAGGAAAAGCCAGGTCCTTTTGTAGCTATGATAACAGACCTCGGAGACTGCAATTTGGCTGTGACATTCACCCTCCTCTAAGAAATCTATTTACTTTCACAGATGGAACAGGTTTTTATCTAACCTTCATCATTGCACAACAAAGCAAAACAAAAGCAAAACAAAACCCCTGTGGAAACATATTCCAAGATTAGAACTAGTTCCAGTTAATTTACAAAACAAGACACTACTTTTTCCCAGAATATAATTAAATGTTATAATTAAAATGCTCCATTCAACTGCTGCTACTAGCCTGGTTCGCACTGAACATTAAACTATAACAAAAGTTCAATTTCATGTAATACAAATAGTTAACTTGCATGAATTCTGGTATACGCTGCTAAGTACATCTGCCCATTACTCCTTCCTGACTTTGCTGTGCTCAGGAGGAAACCAACCACAAGCATAAACTTGGTTTCTGCTTGTGGTTTGTATGGAAAGAAATCACAAGTACTGGTTCACACATGGTTGACTTCCTCCTGGTGTGTTTAAGTCTGCTCCTGACTTGGGCATCAGCTCCCTCAACATCAACCTGGCCGGGGACAGGAGGTGCCAACCCATCGAGATCCCCACAACCCAACCCAGATGTCCAATCCTAAGGTAACTTCAAACCAGTTACTGAAGCTGGCTTGTTTAAACTAGCCGCAGTTAAGATTAGCCTCAATTCCAGGCCAGAATGACACAGCAAACTGTGGTTAATTGAAAGTGAACGAGGAAACTTCTGAATTTCTCCTACTTGCACAGAAGGTGAAGAATGGGGAGCATATGAGCCTTACACTTGCGGTGGCTCATTCACAGCATACAAGACTATTTGTTGCAGTGATAGTGATATAGATAACTAGATGGCGCTTTAAAAAGTAAGAAAGTATTATAGTTATATAAACAGTTAAGGCAATGCAAATAAATAGCCAGATAGCATATGTCCCTCTCTGTTAGATTTCCAAGAGGCAGATTTAATTTATTTATATACCGCTTGATTGTAGAAAAAAAAAACCCTCAAAACAGTTTACAAATTCATAAAAAGATAGAAATCTAAAGCATTATTTGACTAGTAATTCATTGGTAGCCATTCCTGTGAACAGCAAGTGTTGAAAGGTTCAGTAGAAGTCTTCAAATACATAGAAATAAGCTTTTATAGATACCATGTGTGTGGATTGTATGGACAGCTTCCAACATATTTTCCCAAAAGCTCTTCCGCTCCCATGGGTTAATTTTTTTCTTTTTAAGCCAAGTATTAAGATCAATGTTTCCACATTCCATCAACATGTAGATACTCTTCTTGCTAATTTCACTAAAACAAGTTATGAAAATGAAGTCATATATGGGAAATGACACTTGGGAGGTGTTTTTAATTACGCTGGGTTTGTAAAAACATTTACTCACTAGTCATACAGTCGGATAATCTTATCGCAATGTTGCTGAAGTTTATTTAAGTGTGCAATCTCATTTTTATAGCTTTCTAAAGTTTGTTCCTCTGCCTCTTCTAAATTGACATATTTGATAGCATAAAGCTGCTTCTTTTCATCAAGTACTTGAAACACCTGGGGAAAAAAGGAATACAAACCACCAGTTTTGCTTGTTTTTAAGTGCATTACCAAATGTTAATTACACCAAGGTCAGGGACCTTCTTGAACTTACCCTGTAAGGGAAGCTACCTATTACAAGCACAATACAAAAAGAATGGTGTTGCTCAAGAGAGATGGGGGCAGGGGAAGCAATGACATGGTATGTTATGTCAGTGATTATTTTTAAACCACCTTCCGCAAGCAACAGTTATCAATGAACTAAAACTTGCATTTAAAATCTCACCTTACTTGATCCTCCCCTGCCGATTTGTTTCAACACAGTGTACCATTTTCCTTTAATACTGATGCAATCACTTTTAGGTAAAGGAGTTGAAATCTGAATTTAAAAAAACACATATCAAAAGCAACATATGTTAGATATTTACAGTCATATCTCGGGTTACAGACACTTCAGGTTGCGTTTTTTCAGGCTACGGACCACTGAAACCCAGAAGTACCGGAACGGGTTACTTCTGGGTTTTGGCAGTCGCGCATGCGCAGAAGCACTAAATCGCAACCCGTGCGTGCGCAGACGCGCTGCTGTGGGTTGCGAACGTGCATCCCATACGGATCACGTTTGCAACCCGAGCGTCCACTGTATTTAATATTCTAGCTTACTAGTATGTTCAGGTATTTCTGTGGGACTGACATAAAATTGTCAACACGTTGCAGATTACAAGCACAGCTTAAAGAGCATAGCATCAAAACTGTTAGCTCAGAAACAAAACAGAAATTTGTTACATAGTTAATACAAGACAACCATGTTATGAAACATTAAATGTACATTCTTTCTTTCTTAAATTTATATCCCACCATCCCTCTCAAAGGAGTTCAGGACAGCAAACAACAAGTGATAAAAGCAATAAGAATTTCTAACTGCTTGCTTGTCCGTAAGAATGGGTTGCACCCACTATGGATCAGTTTCCTTCATGATCTCATAATGCGCTTTCAGAGTCATTTATTTTAGAAAGGTTACCGGTAATCCAGTACGCACTTGGAATGGAGTTGAGGGAGTACAAGCTTGCAAACAGGAAAGCTGGTTGTATGGTGTGGTGTCCTTACTCAGGTGAAGAAAATTATTCGTTACGACTGGAGTACTGAAACTGTCAAAGGCATTTGAGCATTACAATCCTTGCACAAGCAGCAATACACTCCCCACCCCCACCCCGCAATCAACCATGTATTTAACCAGTAGCTTAATTTTTTATCCAAGTCACAATGTTTGAAGTTGAATGTAATGTTTAAAGCTGGCTCAAAAACATCTCCAAAAAACTGCCCAAACATCTCCAAAAATATTAAATTTAATCTTAATTTGAAGCGCATGTACTTCTAGTAAGAGGTTATCGATACAAAGATGACACCCAGCTCAATCCTTCTCTTCCCCTGACTTGGAAGAGGAGGTTGAGGTGTTAAGATGAGTGCTTGGATGTTGGCCAATAAATTGATGCTGAAAAAAACAAGGAGTCATGTGTCCCAAGTTCTCAAGTGCAGGAGAAGGGCAGGTGGCCTGTTCCAGATGTCACTGCAAGGCTCAGGTGGCCTCATTGGCAAGGAGTCCCTTTTCCAGACACAGCTGGTCTGCCAACTACATCCCTTTCGGGCAGAAATTACTGAACCACTGTACTCCACCATGCTCTGGTAACTTCCAAACTGGATTCTTGCAATATGCTGTGTGCAGCTGCCCTTGAAGACAACTCAGAAACTTCAACTGATCCAAAACACAGCAGCCAGTTTACTAGCCGGGGTTCCCTTTAGATCTCATATAACCCCTATTTTAAAACAACTGCATTGGTTGCCAATGGGCCCAATTCAAGGAGCTCATGTTAACTTTTAAGGCCCTAAATGACTTAGGCCCCAAATATCTGGAAGGCCAACTCCTTCTGTGCAGACCCTCGTGGGTGTTTAGATTGGCACTGTGATTGGAATTTGTTTTAAATTGTTTTTAATGCATTTTAAATTGTTGTGACTCGCAGCCATTTAGGGTAAAGGGTGGACAATAAATCAAACTACTGTTACTACTACTACTACCGCTTCATTTTTACGCCATGCAGAATTATTGATGAGGGATGTTATTTCAAGTTCAGGCACTCTATAAATGCTTTACCCAGCACTGAAGATGCACACTTCTATTTAGTACATATAACCATTAGCTTGCTTAAACAGCACAAAAGCAAATTCCATCAAAATTTAAAATAGAATTGAAAAAATAAACCACCACACACACACACACACACACACACACGTTACCAGGCCATGTAATCTCGCAGTGTGTTGTTGCTAGCTACTGGGCCAACAAGTGACTGGCTGTTTATCTTTGATGCAGTCTCTGGCGGTGAAAGTTTTCGAAAAATTGGCTCTGGTGGTGAAAATCTTTTAGAAACTTGAAAAGCTGGCTGTTCAGCACTTGAGTTTTTTCCCTATAAAATGGAGGAAATGTCATCAGTTCTCAAGTAAGCATACATCATATAAAATCCACGTACTAGTGTGTGCTTGCTAAATAAAATTTAAGTGGAAATCAAAGGTGAAATTTCTTTTTTTCTTTTTTAAATTTACTGAAGATTTTTTTAGACAGATTCTTAAAATACATGCAATACCAACAAAATAACATTCACTGTGTTTATTCACTGTTTGAATCAACAAAGAAAAGAAACTTCCGACTCTACCCATTGTACTAATTTACAATTAAACTATTATTTAAACAGTTGTGTGAAGTTGTTTTTCGTTAATGTAACAATCTAACAATTACTTTATATTGCATGGCTGATTCAGTATCTGCCAGAAAGCATTTATTATCGCAGTACCCTTTGAGATATTCCTTAATTACTGACCATTCCTTATTTACTTCTTGTGTTGAATTTCCTCTCACTGCCCCCATTCTCCTTGCTAATTGTAAGTACTCTATTAGTTTTGCTTGCCATTCGAACTTCGAGGGGATGGTTTTGCTTTTCCATTTTCTTGCAATGAAAATCCTTGTCTATGGCCATACTACCCTGAACACGCCCAATCTCATCTGATCTCGGAACCTAAGTAGGGTCAGGCCTGGTTAGTACTTGGATGGGAGCCCCTCAAAGGTGCAATTTCACTTGATCTTTGAACTGCACACATTTCTGGAATTCAAAGCTCTGCTTATCCACTGAATATTATGGTTTGTACTAGCATTTGCATGCGATGTGTCATGCATATCTAAACACTAGGCAAGCACCAAGTACTTTTAGGAGGTTTTGATAGTAAGCCTGTGCACACAATACCATATTCAAGCAATTCTCGCTTGCTAGAGATGGGAATACTGGGATTTAAATTATAGGCCTGTATCACATATGTCTTGAAGACTACTGCTTTACTGGTTAGTTGCACTACCAATACAAATTTTATATTTGTATTTCAAAGATGCCTCTTTGCTAGTGCCATCTTTGAATGCCGCTGACTAAAAACAAGATTTAATTTACAGCTGTGAACGGCTTCCTGGCAATGAGAGACTGAATGAACATGATATACCACTAAAGTATTACACTAAGGATTGTATCCAGTGAAGTTGTTCATGGAAGGCCTTCCACTTTTGCAATGAAAATCCTTCCTCCCCATGTGCTCCCAAAATCTGTTCTGGGGTTTCCAACCACCTGGAACAGATTTCATGGGGTGCAGGGGAACAAGAGAGGGAGCAGAAGTTCCAATGTACAAGTGTACATTTCTTTATACAACTTTTATCCTACTCAAAAAGGGATTTCGGGTTGGCTAAAGTATCACTGCAAACAAGGCAAGGTGGACTTTTTACATTTCAGTACTAATGACAATGAAGACAACATAACAAAAAATCACTTATATAAGTCAATAAAATTACCTCCAAGTTTGTTTTGTGCATTGCTTCAAGATTAAACCACTTATTTGCAGATGCACGACAATTTAATCTTAACTCTTTCTTTTCATCATTTTCAAGAGGAACAGAGGGGTGCTGTAGTCTTTCTAGGCAGCTTGGTTCTATGGTACTTGGCTCCTTGTGGTGCTCCTCAGTTTCTAAAACAATAGTTCCAGTTATCCAAAAGAACATGGTAGCATTTACAGCAAGATATTCAGAAAAGGAAGAGGTTGGACTACAGAAGGAGCACAAAAAAGTTACCGTGAATAGACTAAAAGTGCTGTTAAGCCTTACTGAATTTATACATGTGGTGGGCTGGGAGAAAGGAGTAGCGGGTGGTAGGAGCTATAGTCATCCTTAGGGGAAGGGGAGATGCACTGGGCAAACTGAACTTCTGCAGTGGCCTCAAGTTACAATGGAGACACAGGATCTAAAATATGGGACTCTAGGGCAAGCAACAAAAACTACATTCAGAGGGTCATGCTTTGGAGGGGAAAAAGGTAGCCTCTTTTCATTTTCTTTTCTAATTTTCAGCTAAACCAACTATGCTCTGGCTACTTTAATCAAGTGCAGAATGAACAATCCACAAATGCCAAAGTTAAAAGTCTACTGAGATACCCACGTCAGTCCAATCCCACAGAGTTAAAACAAACCTTTTTGTTTAACAGCATAAGTAGAACCATATTTATTCTTTAAGGTTGGAGCTGAATTGGTAGCTACTTCTGAGTTCTCATCATCTGGTGGCTGCAATTCCATTAACCATCTGCTTGGTAAAGGCTTAAAAAAGAAGAAGAGTTTTTTATAACAAAGCCAAGAAAAAAGATAGCCACACACGCAGCTGACTCCATGGTTTAATATAGAATTAAAACTGAAGGATCCTAGCCTGCTTATTCTCCTGCACTATCTTGATGGTGGTGGTGATGATGATAGTAATAATTATTATTTTATTATTTATACCCCACCCATCTGGTTGGGTTTCCCCAGCCACTCAGGGCGGCTTACAGCACATATAAAAATTGTAATACATCAGACACTAAAAATTTTCACAATACAGGACATCTGCCTTCAGATGTCTTCTAAACGTCAGATTGTTGTTTTATTATTTATATCCAGCCACTCTGGGTGGCTTTGTTAAGTTCTTGGGAAGTGAACTATAACTTGACTGCAATAACAAGACAGATGCTAGAAACAGCTTTTACAGTTTTATCTTCTATTGGAGCAAACTCTGAAATTTGTGTCTTATAATCTTCAGCTGCTTGCATCCTGACAAAATGCATCCTTATCTTCAAAACTGAAAGATGAGAAATGACACTGATAATATCTGTATATGGGAGAACTCTTGAGATTTGTGTCAGTAAATCTGTGCAAATGCCTTGGTTTGATGCTTCTGCATATTTAGTCAGCAAACTGGCCAATTTGAATGGCAACATGATCTCCAGATCAGAACAGTTTCCCCAACCTTGCTTCATTTCTTTCCTGTCACATAAAATGGCACAAGCTGCTTTGAGAAGCAGCTCATCAGTTCTAGAACATCGGCGCACCAATTCTATGGGCTGCCACCCACTTAAGGTTTGGTTTAGTGTAGCAGCTAAGAATGGATATCCTCGATTGAAATCTCACCTCAGTCATGAACTCACAAAGAGACAGGTGGGCAAACTTCAAGCTTGTGGGAACTACTTTATTTTTAAACTAGAACCCCATGGTTGATAGGTCCAAGGTGCAAAAAAGTGGCAAGAGAGGTGGGAGGAGTTAGATGCAAGATAATAATAGTTAAGGGAGTGAATCTACGGATCTACTGCAACTCATAAGTTAGAAATTCTAACAACTCTGAACTGTCCAGCAAAGCTTCACAAAGACTTGTTCAAAGATGAACAGGCAAGGAATACCAAGACATGCCACCAACCATGGCAGATAACTCTTTTCTACTTGCTGCTGACCAACTATTGAGAGTCAGAAAGCCTTGCCAATAAAGCAGAGATCCAGATCTGCTTTCTGCCTGCTCCTGCCGACATTTAGGCTAGCTAATTTGGCTGTTTTCATCTACAATATGGGGATAAATTTATCAATGTTTGTATTTTGTAAGGGTAATAAAAAAGTAGTGCTCTGAACACTTAAAAAGTAGTATTAACATTAAGCTGTGACTTCCTTTTGTTAACAGCCATTCATATTGTGAACATTTCCATAGGCCCAATCTGATTTGTTTGAATAACATTTTAAATGATAACTGAAAGGAGTTGCTAAGAGCAATTTGTTTATGATTAATATTAAAAGTGCCTCCTCTAGGGGCCCAAAGAGAAAGGTTCTAAACCACAAACTTTTCAAACTACTGCACATAAATAGCAACATCTACATAAAGTGACTCGTTTCATTGTTACCTTAACACACAAATGACACTCAAGCATGCATTGCTTAGTCCAGAGCTTTCCAAACTGTGTGTTGTGACACGTTAGTGTGTCAGCAGCAGTGTGCAGTTGTGTTATGCAAACTCTCCCCATGCTCCTCCAGGAGCTGGAAAGGGGTTAATTTAACTTCCGGCTTGCTAGTAAGATTGAATTACTGTGTTGTGAAACGATGCATGTCTAAAAAGTGTGTCACCAACAAGAAAAGTTTGGAAACTCTGGCTTAGTCCCTTGGGGAGGGGGGGAGAAATGAATAAGGAGTTTCCCAAATTGCATGTTGTAACTTCACTGGGATTTTAAAATGGGAAAGGTGGTCATGGAGTCTTGAATGAGGTCAGAAGGAGAAAGAATGATTGCATGCTCCTACTCCCATATCCTCCCGCTCACATGCAAATTTTTCCCCAGCTAGTTTAAGCCATGGCAGGAGGAAGAACATGATTTTCATGGCCTGCTCCTGCACTCTTGGTTCCATGGATTGTGAGCAGTGGAAGCTTAAGGAAGTTTGCAGATGAAATGATTCAATGACAGGTGGGATTGCCAAATTCATTTTTCCTGGAACACCAAGTCCTTTTTGCCCCTTCTTATTGATTGATTGTCACGCACACAAGTTAAATGAGAGTATGTTGCGCACTTAGTGTATGTCTGAATGAGGCAAGGAGGGAAACCACCCTCAGTAGCAGCAGTGAGTAGTTTGCTTACTTTGTATTTCCACATTTAATACCAAGGTAATCTGTTTTTTTATCATGGTGCTACTAAACTCCTACTTTGTCTACACATTCTGAGCCTGTTTCTGCATCCCCCACTTGCAATCTTATCAACCATGACCAGTAACTTGAGTAAGAACATTCAAATTACCTTCAAGTCTCCTGGTATATCGCTTCCATTAGGTTTTGACTCACACAGTGGCAACTGGCTCAAATTGCTGTCAGATATTTTCCTAATTTTTTAAACAAAGCATTAATTGTCTGTTAACACTAAGCCCGCACAAGTTGATCTGCATTTGTCCAGGAAAGTACAAATACCCAACTCTGCTCAGGTATAAGCACAGAAAACAATTGCATAGCATCATGTTAAAATTAGAAGACTGGCATTTATGCATTACAGAATCCCCTGCAGTAAATGTTGCCATTATTAAGAACAAACCCAAATGGTGTACGACAAATCAGAAGACCCCAGTAGGGATGTAAAAGCAAAGCTTGTGAAACTCTAATGATTTGAAATGTGGGAGAAAGAGCATCTGTCAGGCTAAACATAAACTTACTGTAGATAATAAATGTTCAGAACTAAACCTCTCAAATTCACACAGAGACAGACACAGTGCAGTCTCAGCTACTAGCACTAGCTGTCCCATGCATCAACCACATGTTACAGGTTGCTGCTTGCAGTTTTAAATATTTTCTACATTTTATTTAAAGCTGCTGCTATTGATTGGTCAACAAAGGGGCTTGGAACCCCACTATTAACCATCAGCTCCAGGATGCCCCTTTACACTATGGTTACCAGATGTTTTTCAATGAATCCGGGGACACTTTTCAACTTCAATGGATTTTGTCAGGCGACTGATTTGTAAATCCGGGGACTGTCCCCAGGAAACGAGGATGTCTGGTAACCTTACTTTACACCTGCCCTTCAGAGAGGATGCAAATATGTGGTTTTTAGCTGATGTTGGCAGTAGAGTCCTATTAAGCAGTAGCTGCAAGAGCTACCAACTCTTCTCTGCAGAAAAGTGAGGTGGGAAAAATGCTTCCCATCCTAACCAGTTCAGCTTATTTCATACTTTGGAGCTTGGAAGGGGATAAGGAACTCTACCAAGACAATCCATGCCCCACCTGTGCAGTTCAGAATTGGGAGGAATAATTTTCACTGCTGACACTCAGAGCAGAGCTTTAGCCTTCTTAAACGCATCTATTGCTTGCCACTAAGAAGAAAGCCACAAAGCAATTCAAAACCAAGTAAAACAATTAAAATTATAAAAATTGCATAACTACTGGAGTACAATTAAATTAGTGCTGCTAAAAATCCTGGGAAAACAAAAATGTCTTTTGCCCAGCCCCCAAATGATGACAGCTAGTGCTAGGCAGAGAGCATTCCATAAATCAGAGTTGTTCATATGTTTACTATGGGGAACATAATGGTTGAAAATCTGTATATGGACTATTTGTTTTCTTGAGTAGACTAATAAATGACTTAATAAAACCGTCATCCTTCCTTTTGGCTGGTTGTTGGGCGTGCATAGATCAGTACATACTGGCCATTATTCTCAATGGAAATCTCTGGTGTACATCCTATATAATGATACATCTACCCCTCCATTCCCTTTTGCAGTGAGCCACAAGTTCACGCACCAGAATAATGGACTGTGCTTTATATCTTTGTTCAGTCAACAGATACTTAAGTGTTTGTGAGTTTAAAAGGGACTGTACCTCTTTGCAATACTAGCTGCACATGGAATATCCATCCCCACAGAGTCATCCTCATCATCACTTACTAATCTGAAAGGTACTCTTCCAAACGGACGCATCTAAAAATGGAAATGGAAGTGGAAGTAGAACTCAACTCAATTGCAAAAAATCAAGTACAAGAATACACAAACGTTTAAACAGGCCTACCTTGTTAGACTTATTTAATTGCTTCAATGGTTTGCGTTCACTTTCCTGAGGGGAATACTTTTTCTCCCTGAAAAAAAGAGTTGGACAGTTCTAATTGTACCACAGCACTTGGAAATAAAATAAAAATAATTCCACACAATATTTGGATTTACTTACCCATGGCAAGAACTATGAGTACTGGCAGAAATCTCATTAGAATCAACATTTATTTTCCTATTCAGGAAGTTTCCAGCTTCATTATGAGAGTTTAGAGCTGTAAACATGTAATTTATTAAGAGAAAAAATTAAACATTTTAGTTGTTTAAATACCAAAAGTTGGGTATTTGATTTACAACACGGAGAACAATGAAGGCTTTATATACCTTTTAACCACACTGTAGTGATCTTTAAGGAGTTTATTTTCCCAATACAACAAGGATTAGATTGAATACAACACTTGAGTGAATGTCTATGTTATATTGATCATGACTCCAAACTTAACATAGAAAGATTATATTCTCCCACCTTCTATCTTGAACTGGTTGGAAAAGCAAAGGCCTGATGGTGGCTTGACTCTGTGCATGTGCGCTTGGATTCAAGTGTGAAAGGTAAGAAATATGGCACACGGGAGGGAGGAAACAGGATATATGGAGATAGGGCAGGAAAATGGGAAGCCAGGCTCATGGGAGGAGGAGCCTTTTAATTTCAACAAAATGGACCAGATTCAGCTAAATCAACTAAACCAGATTCAACTAAATTTGCAGGACACAGCACACCAAGTTCCACGAGTGCAAAGGGGCTTTTCCTCCTTTCCTCCCCCAAGCCCCCTCCCATCGGCTCGGGGGGGATGGGCTAGCAGAACACTAAGCATGCAGTAGCAGAAGAGGGGAGAACTGCTTGTGCTGATATACAATCACCTTAGTGCAACAGTCAATTTCGCCCTATAGTCTGCTTCAGACTCACCTGTCAAATTCTCTTTGTCTTCAACCGAAAGTAGCTGCTTTCTTTGTAAACTTAAGTTTCTTACAGCAATTTCCAACATTTCTACTGGAAGTGCTCCAACTTCTGCAGCTTTTTCAAGCAGCTGTTTAGCTTTTTTCAGATTTCCTAATTTAAAAAATACGAAATAATGAACTTTGTGCTAAAATGGGGTGTGTGTGGATATGACTTTAAAAAATAAATAACAGTTATTAGCATTTTACAACCATTATCCAGGATAGGAAATGTGGTCAGTAACAAAGTTTAGCCATGCCAAATTTTGAGTAAATCTGTATCCACATACCTTGAGAGAGTTCAAATTGTGCAAAAGCCACATGAACAAAAGAAAATTTACTGCAGGTTAGTCTGGCAAGATGAAACTGATCGCGTGCCTCTTCTGGGTCTCCAGTGCTGCAAAGAAACAATGGTTTGAAGCAAGTGTTTCAATCATTCACCTCACACATGCATGCAAATGATATTTATTTACTGGGAAAGGGTGATGCCACCTAAATTTTGCAGTGCTTACAAATTAGCTCAAAGAAAATTAAATTGTTTTCAACCAGAGGTTAGTATGCATCACAATACATACTGTACAGCAAACGAGGTAGCCTGCAAATCATCTGTACTCACTCTTTCCAGTCAAAAATCCTATCCTGGATGCACTCTTCCTTGCAGAATTTAGACAGAGGTAGTCCTATACCATAGTCCTTCTTGTACACTGTTTACTGCTGGTATTAGGGAAAAATGCTTTCCACTAGCAAGCTCCACTCCCTCTCAAAATATCTTAAATGTTACATAAGTACATGAAGGAATCCACCTTCCAGGTGTGGTCCAGACACATTTTAGTGTTCACAATAAGAAAATCAAATTTTCAATATTACTTTATCTTCCCAATGCACAAAGAACTGCAATTCCAAAAGATGGGAACCTCATATATTGTCTATTGAACAAATGCTGACTGTGCCTCCATTTCTAGAGGCATTAGATATATATTCATATATTCAGTCCTAAGCATCAAAGCAATTACCGTATTTTTCCATGGCTAAGATGGCCCCTCATGTAAGACAACCCCTGTTTTTTTGAACCCTAAATTAAGAAATCAAAACTTTAAACACCCGAGATCGTCTGAAGTTGTTGAGCTTGTTCATCCAAAAAATCTACCGGTGGTGTGGGGGAATCAGGTGGTGCTTGGCTTCCCTGCCTGCTCCTGGGTGTGGAGCACCGCTGCTGAGGCACATAGGCAGACAAGGCAAGGCAGTGGGCAATAGCTAGCAATAGGGAGCGGGAAAAGGAACCACCTTCCTGGCCGCCTGCTTAAGCGGAGACACCAAGGAGGTGATGTGACTGCTGGAGCACGGTGTCAACATCAACTACACCACACCACCCTAGGCATCCTACAATAATGGTGTATTTGCCTTAAACAAAAAACATTGTCTTATACACAGAAAAATATGATATGTGATATCAACAACTGACGTATGATTTTTTTCCTTTTAACTTGGGTATCATAACAATTACAAACAAATATCAAACTCTGGGAGTGTATAAAATGTATACAGTAATCTTCAGGGACGGTATCAGGTAAGTATAACCAAAATAAAATGTTTTATGTTGCAAATTCAGGAAATGGGGATATAAAAAAGGCACGTAAGAAGAAAAGACACAAAGAAATCACGAAACTTCAACTTAACCAGGTTGTTATAAATGCCAGTGGCGGAGACCAACTATGTTCTTGGGTATTGACATAGGTCACAAAATCAAACCAGACGGAAATAAACTTCTGTTCTACATTGAACTCTGGGTACTTCTAATTAAAATGTTAACTTTTCCACTGATACACTATCCCATGCCTTTCTGTGCCATATCAGCTCCAGCAATATCTCCCCAATCCTTGCAATCATGAGTCATACAGTGGTCAATAAATGTCCAACTAGCTCCCTATTGTAAGCAACAGAATCATCTTCCATACAAAGATTAAGGAGTTGTAGTTGCAGTGGGTGAAAAACAAATGTTGAAACTTTCTGTTTGCCAGATATGAATACTTACGCATTCAGTTCTGCAAATCTAACCAAGATGCGAGCATAGCTTTCATTCTGATGGTATTTTTCTGCAGACAATGATGCAACTGCTTGCCTGTAACAACCAATCAGTCTATTTAACAAGCTGATGTCAGCCTGAGGAGTGCACTTAGCCTCCAGTTTAAGCAAATGATTTAACCAGTCTTCAGGATTATTTGCAGTCATCATAATCTGATTAACTGTTCCAGAGTTATCTAAAAAAAACCAAGAGAAAAGCATTGTTAAGATTTTTGTTATAAAGAAGAAGATGCAGTATTGTCTACAAACAGCTAAAGGAACCATTAAAACAACACACGTTTTAGTTTCTTTTGGTTCCAACATTTTGATTCATCACTCTAGGAATGGCCAGGCTACTACCTTCTGACCTAGAATGGGCAAACCTACCTTTTGTTTTGAAAGGCACCGCAGCAAGCAACAAACAACAACAGCAACAGAAATTATACAACACCAAAATGTCAGTTGTGTTCCACTTGCCAAAAGTGTTCTTATTTTCCACATGCCATGGCACAAGCCATCTAGTGGCGTGGACTTGAAGTGGCTTCACAGAACTGAGTTGCAAGAAGGATTTAAGAAGGGTGCTAGCAAACCAAATGAAACAAACAATTATCCAGGTCTTAAAAAGCACCAAGCTTCTCTGCAAATAAGATCACTAGAGACACAAAAATTCTGATAAAATAATCTCAGCAAAACAGAACAATGGAAACCCCTTTGAAGTCTGCGCAGAAGGGGAAATACTCTTAAAATTGGCGCATTTCTCCCACATCAGAAAAAGAAGTGTATTCAAAGTGCTGAGGGATCCACTTTGAGTTCAAACTGTTTCCTCAGGAAAGAAATAAAAATGCTCCTTTTTAAAAAAGAAGCTCCTCAAACCCCCCCCCCCCCAAATTGCCAAGTCCCTTGTGAAGCACTTCTCAAATACCCAGCAACTAGCTAATTGTTAAGCATTTAGGAAGCAACTTGCAAGAAGCAAGTTGCAAGTTGTGTGGTCAGCGTGCCCCAAGCAGCAATCACAGAGCTTCCAAAGTGGTTTGTGCAACATTTCAGAAACATGTGGTTATCAGACACTTTGGAAGAGATGCATAAAGGGCTTTGAAAGCACTACCAATCAGCAGTCACAAAATACTACATACCTGTTGTATCCACTGATGCCTTGGTGATGTTAAGCTCAGCTGTAGTATTGTCGTCATTTTTATATTTGCTTTTCAGGTCTTGAACCCTACTCATAATAGAAGCAACAAACATACCATTTTCACTTAAATCTTCTTCCTGCATTTCTAGAAAAAGAAAAGTCAGTGTTGAATACAAAAGGTAACAAATGTTACCTAATGGTATTTATATTGCTGTAGGGTCTTCTTACAATCAAATAGCATACAATTTTTGTTAAAATTTTTTTTATTATTTCAATGAAAGAGTAATACAGTAAATCCACAATTTATGCAAGTGTTGTGTTCTGGGATTGCGCCTAAAGACAAAATTGTGTATAGTCAAAACACATTGGGTTCAACTATGCCCCTCTTTTCTTCCCACCTCTCTTATCCCCCAACCTTATACTGTATACAATATTAAGTCTCACATCAAATATAACTGATCTGTAAAATGGACTTTATGGTCTGAAAATAGAGACAATGTATGTACTTTTACACCTTTAAATTGGTGTAAAGCAAGCTGGTATAGAGCCAGTGTAAAGTTACATGAGATCCAAATCCCACTTAGCAGCATACAGTGGTACCTCAGGTTACATACGCTTCAGGTTACAGACTCCGCTAACCCAGAAATAGTGCTTCAGGTTAAGAACTTTACTTCAGGATGAGAACAGAAATCGGGCTCCGGCGGCGTGGCAGCAGAAGGAGGCCCCATTAGCTAAAGTTAACTGTTCAGGTTAAGAACAGTTTCAGGTTAAGTACGGACCTCTGGAACGAATTAAGTACTTAACCTGAGGTACCACTGTATATGCTACTGTTCTACCTAAGACTGGCAGAGGGAAAACAAGTATTTAAACTAGTGTTTTATGCTGGGTTGCCAAGCCACATCAGGTTCAGCTGAGCATGTTACACCCACATATATTTAGCTAAGCTGGGATTGGGAACATAATGCCAAATAAGCCAGAAATCAACTGGATGAGCCAGAGGCCCACTGCATCTCGGTGGATCTTGCCATGCCACGCAATTGCTCTCTCAAGCTTCTACCCTAATCATATACATTTAGGAGGGAAATCAAGTGACTCAATAGGACTTACTTTGAAGTAAATGCATTAGATTATGGGGGGGGGGACCCATTAAGTAACTTGATGGGCAAGAACAGGTATTTGCCCTTTCCCTAGCTTAATAAAAAGGCAAAATCCTGTATATTCCCACAAAGCCAGTCAAGCAACTCTTCTGAAGACGTGACACAATCACACATACATGTATGTGCCCGTTTGCTGTCAGTAATCTACTTGTGATATAGCAAGATGCAAACAGAGATTGCAACAGCTACAACCTGTTGAAATAGTGAAAGGCCACCCTACAGAGTTGCCACATTTGTCCCACCCCAATCTACCCTTAAACTATTCCCATCCATACCTCTGGGGTGAAGCAAGTATTATACAACTTCCGTACGTATTCAGGTGGAAGACAAGGGAATCACATTTGAAATAATTTCTGTACAGTACTTCTATTAGCAAACCTTTGCAATATTTTGCTAAAAATCTTAAATTCTCTTCTTGCCAACAACCCTAGAGATTTATTTCAATTAAACAAAACACGGGGTCAAATTCAATGTCATTTGCACAGAAGGACTTCCCCGTCTTCTCTTCGCTTCTCCAGCCTCCTGCACCCTCCCCAAATCTGTTATAGAGGGTACCACAGCCCTTTGGAGATATTGGGGTTATGCAGCAGGGCAGATTGTTTCCATTGCACGAATGGAAGTCCATTTCACCCACACAGAAACATCATTGGATACAACCCAGTGTTTTTTCTGGGGGGACACAGGGGTATGCATACCCCTAAACATTTTGTGAATCTAAAGTTTGGCCACATTGAGGGGCAGTATTTCAATATTAGTAGGCAAATGAGAGTACCCCTAAACATTTTTTTAAAAGAAAAAAAGCACTGATACAACCCATAATCATTCAAGCATATTAATCATTTTCTCATTTTTCTCTAGATTGGAAATTCAACAGAATGGAATTGGCTTCTCTCTTCAACAATGGGTTTTCATTCCTGAATGAGCTATCACTACCATCATGGGGTACTTAATCTGCCACAAGCACCATGTATCTACAACCCAAAATAGCTCTGGCCCCTCCACCTTTTATTCTCCCATGAAATAACCTTGTGTTTTATTTTCTTGCAAGTATAACTGTCTTTAGACTGCTATGATTGGTATGCTTTCGAGACCTGCCATGATGCTCAACCCACTCTTGAAGCTCTCAGCTGGATGTCATCTTTTCAATCAATTATCCTGCAGTCCTACGCAGTGAAAACCTACTGCAGCCTGGGATAGCCACCCCCGTTCTTTGTTCCCCTACCCAATAGGTGTCGAAGAATAGCCTGAGAACACCTTGCTTTATCTGCCACTGAGGATGCTCCCTCACCTTCTCAGTGCCTATCAGCAAACCAGGGGTAGGTAACAAGCCTTTCTCTCGTCTCAACTTTCCTTCCCTTTTCTTTCACTCATTATATCAGTCTCTCCCCCTCGATGATTCCCTCTGCTTCAGAGAAAACCTTCACCTCTGGTCTCATTGCAAATGTTTGCTTTACTTAATAAACACTTGCTTCCTCAAGTCTCAGCTCAGTTTCTGGAGCTTCCTGGAAAGCTTACAGGGATGCTGCCTATTTAGATCAAAGTTATTGCCAATTTGTCACAAAGGGAGCCAGTTCTACTAAATCGATTGTGAGTCTGTTGAGGCAGCTCTACTAGATAAGATAGTGGCCTCTTCTCCAGAAGGAATAGAGCAGTAACCTGCAGAAGGAAGAGCACCAGATTAATTCCTCAATGACCACTGTAGTAGCGGGAAACTCACAAAATGTGAAACCAGGTTCAGAGAGGTTCAGTAGACCCATGCAGTGTTTCTCCTTACACCGCTGGTTAAGACCATAGTGTTCCAGGGCAAAAGGTTACTTTTCCTACAGAATTAAGTGATATTTTATTGAAACCTGCTCCTATTGTGGGCTTTTAATTGTGAGAAATGAAAGTTTATATAGCATTACCTTTTTGTCTTTGAATTGCTGTTCTCTATACAGCCTGCAAATGTAGAACTTGTTCAACAAATGTAAATTGTAAATATTTAAGTTGTTTGCCCTGTTTGCAAACAAAGTACTTTCTATTGGGACCAAAACATCAAATTGTTTCTTCAATTAAACCTTGGTTATCAGGAAACAAAACTTCTAAAGCGCAAGATTTTACAACGAAAGGATGTAAACAGGTTTGGATCACATTTTAGTGGCAAAGTAGGCCAAGAACTGCTTAGCTCCTTAACATAACCAAAATAACTGAGTTTCTATAGTACGCCCTGAGGGCAGCTGGGAATCAATTTCATCTGAGGCGTACCTGTGAACTGTGGCAAGACTCATCCTTAAGGGCAGGTGGTATCCGCCTTGCAAATTTATATAAAAGGGAGTGTCAGAGGCACAGCTAGAGGCATTGCTTCATTCACAATATACCTTAGCACATCCTCCTTGAAGGTAACTTGTGAAAAACCTAAGAGGAGTGGTCTCTTGGTTTCCACATATTCAGAACTGAATGAAACTCATCCCTGATAGGGAGGGACTTGGTGCAAAATGATAGAAATGTACTGTTGGTATTATCGCCTCCAGTGATACTTAATCCTAATCAGTCTGATTTTCATTGTTAATCCTCTATTTAAATTGAAAAAATATATTACTATTATATTAGAAGAAGAGTTTGGATTTGATATCCCGCTTTATCACTACCCGAAGGAGTCTCAAAGCGGCTAACATTCTCCTTTCCCTTCCTCCCCCACAACAAACACTCTGTGAGGTGAGTGGGGCTGAGAGACTTCAGAGAAGTGTGACTGGCCCAAGGTAACCCAGTAGATGCATGTGGAGATGAGAACCAGTGTGGTGTAGTGGTTAAGAGCGATAGGCTTGTAATCTGGGGAACCGAGTTCGCATCTCCACTACTCCACATGCAGCTACTGGGTGACCGTGATTAGGATTAAGTATCACTGGAGGCAAGAATACCAACAGTACATGTCTATCATTCTGCACCAAGTCCCTCCCTATCAGGGATGATTTGCAAATCATTGGCAAACATTGTACGCAATCTCATTATGATTTGTTGCTTTAGATTTGGAAATTATGTATACTTCCCTCCTCTTTCTGCTATTCTTTTTTTTTTTTTTGGCGGGGACAGGGAGAGAAATAATCTGGATGTAAACACCATTTTTTTCTGTATATAAGACACCCCCAGGTATCAGACGACCCCTATTTTTTTAACCCAAAATTTAAAATTGATATTTTAAACATCAAACAGTACAACTTTGAGCATTTTCAGGGGAGGTCGCCCAAAGTTTAGGCTGCCATATTTCAAGAGTCTGCGCTCAAACCTGAGCCTATATTGCCCGCAACCAAGCCTGGACCACCCACGCCAGATCCCAAACCCAGGGCCGTCCACACCAGAGCCAGAGCCCAAACCCCTGTGCATTCACCATCTGTGTATACAACCCAAAAATTTTGACTAAAATTGCAAATGAATTGCAATCACAAACCAAACAGACCCAAAAGCAATAAAGTAAAATGGGCCTGTCAAGCAAAATGTTCAACCAGAACTGTAACCCATCAAGCTAAATGGAGCCCATTAAGTCTGTATGGCAGCCTGGCAGGTTTCACATCAGAGGCTGGAGGCTTAACTGAGATGCTGGTGGACTGCTTTTATCGTGTTGTGTCACAAACTAGAATGACTATCATAAGATGTGAAGAGTTAGGAGGTGAATGGGAACATTCTCAGAAGATTCAACGGCCAAAGGATGATGAGATCCAAGTTTCAACTCTGGGATTTAGCCAAGAAATTCTGTTGTTGTAGGCAATCTCCAGAGTGCAAAAGAGTTTAACATGTTGGCCAATCAAGGACTATGCTTAATTGCATCCAGGGAGAGAAGGGAATCTAACACATTCAAATAAAGAGCATCTTAACTGCATCTTGAAGTGAAACAAATTGGAAATGCCAATAGTAAGTTCAAACATTCATTTTCTAACACAGATGCACACAAACCCGAAGAGCTATAAATCCTACATAATCTTGGGAGAATGATTTTAAATAATTATTTGAAATTAATCCTAAAGGAGCAAGATTACAGATAGCTAGTTTGAGACTTGCCCTTAATAGGTAAAGATTTCCCACGCTGTCACACAAGTAGAAGAGAATTAAGAAACAAACACTGTGTTACACCAACACCAGACCCAGTGCCCCAAGTCTCACTTATGTGGGGGTGAGAGAAATTGCAATTACAATATCACAAAGTTATACAACTTCTCCCACTGGCAATCAAGAATTTTACTTGGTTTATGCCACTGATTAAACCAGATAATTTTTCATTTACCAAACCACTCCCGCACCTTCAAATGATCCCAGTATCTTGAACAAATATAGACTTGCAAGAGTTTGTAAACATGTAACCTCGTAAGCATGTAATTATAAGGTATTAGCCACATTTGCTGCAACAATAAACAGCAATAAATAATCTTGTAGTATAAGCAGATATATTGTGGCATCGAGCTCCATGGACTAGTGCCCATTTTGACAGGTGTATGAAGTGCTTTCCTCAGTTGGCAAATGCATATTTCCATGGGTAGAGACTAGTAACCAGCTTACTTATATGTAAATGTGAATAGGTTTGGACTGCATAACAACTATTTGTGAAGTTTTATTACCTATGCTGTAAATTGCCCTGTGAACTTTTGAAGAATGGTGGTATATAAATTTAATAAATATTACCAGCCACCACAATTAGTTTGGTTTCATCTGTGCAATGCTACCATATTTTAGGATAGCAACACTACTCAACACTACTCAAGCAACATCCTCAAAGCCTGTCAGTTGCATTTAGAGTGAAGCCTCGGATCCTTTGAACTCTTCTGACTATGAAGGCACTTATAATCTCTTCCTTCCTAGCCAACATTAAGTCCTGGTTTAAGGAGATGAATTCTTGTTCGATATAAAAAATGCAGTGGCTCCAATTTGACCAAGAAAGAGTAGTTTATGGAGCTCATATTTTCATATGGTTGGGGGCAAAGGAGTTTGGTGATAGTGGAGAAATAGGCAAAGTGTTACTCCCTAATTAATTGTGGTTAGGGCTTTTTGTTTGCCCAGGTCTTAGTAATATACCGTATTTAACGCCCCGTAGGACGCACCTAGTTTTTTTGGGGGGGAATAAAGAAAAAAAAAATTATTTCCCCCCCAGGTGCGGGGCTGGGGCGGGGGAAGCCCGAGCTTCCCCCGACCCCAGCCCCCAGAACAGGCTGCTATCCGCAAGCTCAGCGCGCCCCAAGCTTCTGGGTGCCGGCAAGGTCTCCGCTAGCTGTGGGAGAGCTGCGTCTCCCACGGCTAGCGGATAGCTTCCTGAAGCCTGGAGAGCGAGAGGGGTCAGTGCGCACCGACCCCCCTCACTCTCCAGGCTTCAGCGAAAGCCTGCACTCGCCCCATAGGACGCACACACATTTCCCCTTCATTTTTGGAGGGGGAAAAGTGCGTGCTATAGGGCGAAAAATACGGTAATTAACTTCCATGCTGACACTGCTACTTTGCATACGTTGCTTTGTTGCCAGTATTTTTTATTGCTGGACTATATTGTTAGCAGCAACATGCTACTAATGGAAGGATGGGGCATATAAATCCTCTGATACAACATCGCATTTTAGAGATGTGACTTCAAGCTCGATTTTTAATTTCATCCAGGAAGACACGGATGAAAATAAACATCAAGTCCCCCGTCCCCAGCAAGGGAATAAGACAAGGAAAAAACCCTATGTTTTATTTATTTAGTAGGGAAAAGGGCTGTAGCTCAGGAGATGAGTAACTAGATAACCTTTAGAAGACATCTCAAGGCAGTCCTGTATAGAGAAGCTGGTTGATGTTTAATGTTTTATTATGTTTTTATATATGTTGGAAGCCACCCAAAGTGTGTGGGGCAACCCAGTACGATGGGCAGGGTGCAAAAATTATTATTATTATATTATTAAGCACATGCTTTGCATGCAAAAGGTCCCAGGTTCAATCCTCATCATTTCAAGATAAGGAGCTGCAAAAGCCTGCTGTGTGAAACCGTGGAAGACAATACTGAATTAAATGGGTCAGTAGTCTGGCTTCCTATGTTCCCAGCAGGTAGCTGGTAGCTTCCTATGTTCCCAGCAGGACCAGATTTATGGTAGGTCTGATGAGGCCCTAAGATACTGAAGCTAATGGGGCCCTGTTGTCGCTGTTTTTTGGGTTGAATATATCGTAAATGGTAATTTATGGACCTAATAGGTATCTAAAGCCATTTGCACATAACAAATTATGGACTGTACTTTTCCATGTGAAAGACTAGGCTTTTTTTACTAAAAAATAATGTTATTAAAATAATGTTATTAAGAAACCAGAAGCCTCTCTACTTGGAATAATAGGGCTGGAATTGCCCAAAAAAGATGTTGGACTGTTTTTGTATGCCACAACTGCAGCAAGAATTTTGCTAGCCAAAAATTGGAAATTGCAAGAAATACCAACAGTGGAGGAATGGCAGATGAAGATGTTGGACTTTTTGGAGCTGGCCAACCTGACTGGAAGAATACGCGATCAGAAAGAGGAGGAACATCAAGAAGAATGGAAGAAATTTAAGGACTATTCAGCTAGATATTCTAATATAACATAAGTAGAATTACTTGTAAGTACCACATTGGCCTAGGATTAAAATAGGTTGAATTGTATAACATTATGGATTGAAAATATTATGAAAAGGAAGGAAGATAGTAATTTGAATACGTTAATCTTATTGAAAAGTGGCTATTGGAAAACTGCTACAATGAGATCTATTGAAATTCAGTTAGGAGGGATTTGAGGAAGTCACTTAACAATGGAAACTACCGGTAAATTGGGCTTCTAACAGTTAGGTGTTTATATGTTCGTTTTTATTTTTAATATTGCAATGTCTTTCCTTTTTGTGTGTTTTAAATTTGGAAAATCAATAAAAAAACTGGGGAAACAAGGAGGGGGTAGTCATACACGGGGGCAATCTCGCCCCATTTTCTTAATTCTGGGTCGCCAAAAACAGGGGGCGTCTTATACATGGGGGCATGTTACACATGGAAAAATATGGTATTTAGTTGTTGAATTGAAATACAACTAAATATAATTATAATATTTATATATGGTATCATAGTAGTTTTTTCTTCCTTTAATGGGGGGGGGGGGGGCAAGAGAGTAGGGCCCTAAGCTATAGCTTGTTTAGCTTATACACAAATCCCGCACTGGTTCCCAGCACTGAGAGCGGCCAGTGGGGAGAAGCCACCAAGGGACCCCCCCCCTCCCAAGGTCAGTTCTCTTATATTGTATGTGGTCAGCTCACCCAAAGCCCAAGGGATGCTTCCTTGTGTAATATTCCCACACGGTCTCTCACCCGTCAGGGGAGAAAAGGCCGGGCGAGCAAGCAGGCAACGGAGGGCAGCCTCCTCACCAACGAGCCAGACACCCGCAAAGGCTAAACTGCCCCCGCCCCCGGACCCGGGGCGGGCGGGTAAGACGAGACTTACCGTTTGTTTTTGATTTTTCCATGCCTTCCAGGACGCTCCACGGAAAGGGGTGGGACGGGGGGGGGAAATAACAGCTTTCCTCAGTTTAAATTCCGTCACCAACCGAAAACTGGCTCCTGATTGGCCGGTTCTGTAAACGCCAAAAAGATGCGCCCAGCTCTCGATTGGCGCGCCGTTTGATTGACGAGCCGGCGGGCCGCTTTCTTTCCCCCTCCACACACTCCGCCCGCCGCCGCCGGCTTCCTATGGGCTTGCGCAGAAGTGGACGCGAAAAGGGTTCGGCGGCCCTCGTGACGGGGAAAGCCGAAACGAAGCGAAACCTTGGAACTGGCAATGACGTGGAGAAAGCCCCGCCCCTCCCTGCCACCCGAGGGTCATTCCGCCCCAGCCAGTCCGTTCAATCCGACTCTGCGGGATGAGAGCGGCTGTGAGGGGTGACGTCATGGAAGGCGGGAGGCCCCGCCCCTTCTTGGGCACGTGAGGTAACAAAACAGGAGCGCGGCTGAGGCCGGAGGTGGCAGGGAAGCCCAGCGCGACAGTGGCAACTACGGTAGTCTCCACGCGCCTTTAATGGCCATAGGGAGACTTGCGTCGTCGTCGTCCCCGCCCCGCCACCCTCCGAGCTCTCTAGCTGCTTTCCAGCGCTGCTTAGGAGCAGCCTTGGCTGCCTCCCTTTGCACAAGGAAGATCATTGGTGGGGGTGGGAGACGACGACCCCAAAACTGACCCAAAGAATATGAAACGGACTTGACAGCGCAGTCTATACAGGCCCCAGTGTTTTGACTTTATAAAGGAAATAAATTTGAGGAGGGGGAGATCAACAACAGATCTTGGGAGTCCAGCAGGAAATCAAAATTCTCACATTAAACTCTTAAGCTTCTCTCTTTACTTTATTGTTATTTTTCTTCTAAAAAGGAAAAAGATCAGTCTGGACGTTTAAGGCTGCAGGCCTTAAACTTGAACTCAATGGGAATTACTTCTCTCTCTGTGTGAGAGAGAGTACAAAATGATGTGCCGAAAGCCAAGTAGGTTACTGCTGTGGTGGAGTGGGTAGTTTGTGGAACCTGTTGCAACAAGGCATTCATGCAATATCCAAAAGTGAGGTATTTCGCATGGCAGCTCTAAACAGGTTTGTCTGCAAACAATTCCCATTTACTTCACTGGGGGCTTCCTTTCAAGCAAGTGTACAAATTGTTGAAGTCAGTAAGATCAACTGCATGTGTACATAGGTTGTGCAGTCTTTAAGTAAAGGTGCAGGGGCGTTTGATGATATCAAACAAAAAAGAATCATGTCATTAATATAAATACCTAGACAGCATCTTAGTTTGCAAGTGCAAAAGTTCTCTGGTGGCCACACTTGTGCATACCCCAAAACCTCCTGATAAACCTCATAGCTTATTATACCCACAAATGTTCTGCTCTGTCTTTGTCCTGCATTTGTTATGCTATAGCAGCTCCTCCCTTGGGAGAAAAGCAATGACAAACCTAGACAGCATCTTAAAAAGCAGAGACATCACCTGGCCGACAAAGGTCTGTATAGTTAAAGCTATGGTTTTCCTGGTAGTGATGTATGGAAGTGAGAGCTGGACCATAAAGAAGGCTGATTGCCGAAGAATTGATGCTTTTGAATTATGGTGCTGGAGGAGACTCTTGAGAGTCCCATGGACTGCAAGAAGATCAAACCGATCCATTCTGAAGGAAAGCAGCCCTGAGTGCTCACTGGAAGGACAGAACCTGAAGCTGAGGCTCCAATACTTTGGCCACCTCATGAGAAGAGAAGACTCCCTAGAAAAGATCGTGATGTTGGGAAAGGTTGAGCGCACAAGGAGAAGGCGACGACAGAGGACGAGATGGTTGGACAGTGTTCTCGAAGCTACTAATGTGAGTTTGACCAAATTGTGGGAGGCAGTGGAAGACAGGAGTGCCTGGCGTGCTCTGGTCCATGGGGTCACGAAGAGTCGGGCACGACTAAACGTCAACAAAAATCAACTAACTATAAATAAAGGTAAAGGGACCTCTGACTGTAGGTCCAGTCGCGGACGACTCGGGTTGCAGCGCTCATCTTGCTTTATTGGCCGAGGGAGCTGGTGTACAGTTTCCAGGTTATGTGGCCAGCATGACTAAGCCACTTGTGGCGAACCAGAGCAGCGCATGGAAATGCCGTTTACCTTCCCACCAGAGCGGTACCTATTTATCTACTTGCACTTTGACATGCTTTTGAACTGCTAGGTTGGCAGGAGCTGAGACCGAGCAATGGGAGCTCACCCCATTGCGGGGATTCGAACCACTGACTTTCGGATCGGCAAGCCCTAGGCTCAGTGGTTTAGACCACAGTGCTGCCCGCGTCCCATAAATAGCAACTCACTAATTTTTATACCATAATATTTATTTATCTCATGTAATTATACAGTGCTTGATTGTAAAAAACACACACCCAAGAACCCTCAAAGTGGTTTACAAAGAGAGAAGATTGTCAGTAAAAACAACTCTTTAAAAAACATTCAAAAATAAAATCAGCAGTAAACTATAAACAAATTGAAACATAGATTAGTATTTTACAGGCTGGGTAGGCTTTTCTAAACAAAAAAGTTTTTGGCGGATGCCAAGAAGATGGCAATAGTTCCAGAGTGCAGGTGCTGCCACACTAAAATACTAATTTTTTACAAATATGGAATGGTGGTTATAATAGTGCTAGTTCTGCAGATCAAAGTGGTCATGTGGCCGTATATGGGGTAAGGCAATCTCAGAGGTAAACAGGTCTCAAGTTGTTAAGGGCTTTACACCCATGAAACTTGGCCCAGTGCAGTTTTCTGAGCACAAGCATTGTAGGCTGACAAGGAGATTCCAACTAAACCTGGATAACTTTTGGACAGTAAGAGCTGTTTGACAGTGGAACAGACTCCCATGAGCGGCAACGGACTGTACTTCATTGGAGGTTTTTAAGCAGAAGAAAGATAGCCATCTGTCATGGATGATTTAGTTGAGATTTCTGCATTGCAGGGGCTGGACTAGATGGCTGTCTGTGGTCCTTCCTGCTCTATGATTCTGTGATCTCACTGTTTTCAGCAATTGTGCTACAACTTTCTGGACTAACCAGCTTCTGAATCAAGCGCAAGGGAAGCCCCACATAGAGCACATTGCAGTAATCCAGTCTTGAAGTAGACAACGCATGAACTGCTGTGGCCCAACTTCCCCAGCTGAGGAATGGTTGTATCAATTGCAGTTGGTAAAAGGCAAGTCTAGCCACAGAGGCTACCTGAGCCTCCAGTAACAGAGCTGGAACCAAAAGTGCCCCCAGACTGTGATCCTACTCTTTCAGGGGGAGTGCAACCTCGTCCAGGGTGGGCATGACCAATTTCTTGGACATAGGAAATATTCACTGACAGTGCCTCTGTCTTGCTAGGATTCTAGTTCAGCTTGGTTTTTCTCATTCATCTCACAACTGCATCCATGCACTGCCCCAGGGACTGTATAGCCTCTCCTAATTCAGATGTTAATACACATACCAGTCCAATACATTTAATACAGTAAATAAAACACTAACCTATCTTAAAGGGACTTTTGCTAGTTAACTGGGTTTATAATGCACAGCCTAAAACCATTAATGTAAATACTTCCTTAAGGTTCTTAAGAAGCTCTGGTAAACCATATTTTTAATAGATGTGTCTCCAAAGGAAACATTGAAGAATAATTCTGTCAGTATAAAAAGTTCAATTAACTGAATCATCCAGGTTACTATCCCTATTTCATTGCTGACAGATGACTGTGCTCTTATCACATAATGCTAAAAATTAAATCAAAGCCACTTACTTAGAGGAAGATTAGATGAATATTAATGTGAAAGTCAGGATACAGAATCATTCTTGCAAACAAGTACACACCTTAAGGTAGCTGACACACCTATTACGGTAGGTGTTGTAACAACAGCACACACCTGCAATGTGTGAGACAGTGAAGTGTTCAACTTGTTATGTGGAAAAGTGCTTTAGATTTGACCATACATGTTACTCTAATTTCAACATAACACCTAAGCATCACTTGGGCACATTTTTATGCTCAAGAGTCGACAAATGAATCTTGCAAAAGTATATTCACCACACCTAGTGTGTGTTAGATGTTGTGATAGCAATACTTTAAACAGATATTCAAACAACCTTTATAAAAAAACAAATGCACTGTGTAAAATTGCATGGCAAACAGAAAGTCTTGTGTGTCTGTCATGAATTTATCAGTAATTTGTCAATACTGTAGTTGGTTTATCTGCAATATTAAATAAGACTGTGAGCATAGCCTATATGTGATGCAAGGGAGGCAAGTCATACCTACCTTCTTCAACTATATTTTTCCTGTGCTCTTTGCCCCACTTCCCATCTTCAGCTGCCCATGATACAAATATAGATAGCACAACCACATTGAGGCCATCTCAGTGATAGCCTCGAGAATGTAGACCTCGAGAGAGAGGTGCCTCTAGTACCATATTTTTACAGCTTCTGTTGGTTGCTAAATATGTGCTTCTTTACTCTGGCCTTTGCAAATTGATTAATTGGTTTTATAGGGACCATTGTTTTCCTTTGGGAGTCCTCCCCGCTACCTTTTCAGTCTTTCTACTTCTCTCCTGCCTTTCAGTGACTAACTAGAAGAGCAGGGATGCAAAGAACGACCCCTTTCTGAGTGCTACTCATCTAGCATTACTGGGGTGAGGGAATAAGGGGGCAGTCCAAACATATGCAACTCTCTCAGCTGTTCCCCATAAGGCTTGGCTTCCAAACCCTTGAGCATCTTGGTCGCCCTGCTCTGCATACATTCCAGCATGTTAATATCTTTCTTAAATTGTGGTGCCCAGAACTGGACACAAAATTTGAGGTGTGGTCTGACCAAGGCAGAATAGAGTGGTACTATTGCTTCCTTTGACACAGACACTTCTGTTCATGCAGCCTAGAATAGCATTCACTTTTTTTGCTGCTGCATCAAATTGTTGATTCATGTTAAGCTTGGGATCTACTGAGATCCCTAGATCCTTTTCACATGTACTGCTGACAAGCCAGGTGTCTTCCATCGTAAACTGGTGCAGCTGGATATTCCTGTCTAAGTGCAGAACCTGACATTTGTCCCTATTAAAATTCATTTTATTAGTTTGGGCCCAGTTCTTCAATCAACAGATTGAAGGGCATCTTGAATCCCCCACTCTGTCTTAGCTATCCCTCCCAGTTTAGTCATCTGCAAATTTAATGAGCACCCCCTCAATTCCTTCGTTCAGGTCATTTATGAAGATGTTAAACAACAACGGTCCCAAGACAGCACCCTGTGGTGCCCCACTTGTCAGTTTTTCCCCAAGATGATAAGGAACCATTATTGAGTACTCTTTGGGTTCAGTCAGTAAACCAGCTACAAATCCACCTAACAGCTACCTCATCTAGCCCACATTTTACCAGCTTCTCTGCAAGAATATTATGGGGGACTTTGTCAAAAGTGTTGCTGAAATCAATATACACTACGTCCACAGCATTCCCCTAATCCACCAAGCTTGTAACTTTATCAAAAAAAGAAGTTAGATTTGTCTGGCATGACTTGTTTTTGAGAAACCCATGCTGGGTCTTAGTAATCACAGCATCCTTTCCTAAGTGCTCAAAGGCTGTTTAATTATCTGTTCTAGGACCTTTCCTGGTATCACTGGCAAGCTCACTGGTTGGTAGTTACCTAGGTCTTCTTTCCCGCCCTTTTTGAAGATAGGGACAATATCTGCCCACCTCCAGTCTGCAGAGACCTCACCTGTTCTCCAGGAATTCTCATAGATAATAGACAGGCTCTGAGATTACATCCACAAGCTCCTTTAGTAGCCTTGGATGCAG